AGAGCATTCTGAACTCCACCAGTGATGGAATTGAACCAAATATGGCACACAGAACTCCCACGACAAACAGAAAATATATATATCAATGATTGGTTTGGGGGCGGGGGCGCCAAAATACTGTTTGCTTATCGTTGAAAATTACCTAGGGCCGCCTCTGCCTGCAATCAATGAACACTCTGAAAATCACCAAAGATGGACTAACTTGGGGGAGCATGGACCACGATGGTGGGATTTGCAGTACCTTCACCCTATTCGGATCCAACAGAGCACTGCGACCCTCACAAATAACGGACCCGGACCAAACTTGGCACACAGGCACCCCCTGACCCACTTTACGCCATGGTGCAATTTTGGGGAGGATGGACAGTGGACGATGGGTTTTGCAGTATTTTCACCCAATTTGGCTCCCACAGAACACTAAAATTCCCACAAATGATGGATCTGGGCCAACCTTGGCACACAGAACCCCCATGACAAACAGAACGTACTGGAGGGGTTTGAGGGGAGACTGGCCCATCTGAGTGGGATTTGTAGTTCACCCTGCATCCAGAGAGCAGCCTAAAGCCCATCAATGACAAATTGCCAAACTGATATTACCTAGCATCCAAACATAAACAATGCCTTTTTCTAATAACCCAGTCATCACCAGGACCCCAAGCAAATATATAATATAATGACAATAATAATATATAATAATCTATATAAATAAAAATGTAATGTTAGTTCGTGCTACCATCAGAACTCAAAAACCACTGGGGGAATTGACACCAAATTTGGACACAAGACACCTAACAGTCCAATTTATGTCCTCCACTCAAAAAAATTGATTTTGTCATTTGGGAATTGTCGTTGCTGGGATTTATAGTTTACCTACAATCAAAGAGCATTCTGAACTCCACCAATGATGGAATTGAACCAAACTTAGCACACAGGGCTCCCATGACCAACAGAAAAAACTGAAAAGGTTTGGTGGACATTGACCTTGAGTTTGGGAATTATAGTTCACCCACATCCAGAGAGCACTGTGGACTCAAACAATGATGGATCTGGACCAAACTTGGCACGAATATTCCATATGCCCAAATATGAACACAGATGGAGTTTAAGGGAAATAGAGCTTGACATTTGGGAGTTGTAGTTGCTGGGATTTATAGCTCACCTACAATCAAAGAGCATTCTGAGCTCCACCAATGATGGAATTGAGCCAAACATGGCATACAGGACTTCCATGACCAACAGAACACCCTGGAAGGGTTTGGTGGGCATTGACCTTGAGTTTGGGAATTGTAGTTCACCTACATCCAGAGAGCACTGCGGACTCAAACAATGATGGATCTGGACCAAACTTGACACAAATATTCCATATGCCCAAATATGAACACAGATGGAGTTTGGAAGAAATAGACCTTGACATTTGGGATGTGTAGTTACAGGGATTTATAGTTCACTACAATTAAAGAGCATTGGGGCAAACGACAGAATTGGGGCAAACTTCCCACACAGAACCCCCATGACCAACAGAAAATACTTAAGGCCATCCAGTCCAACTCTCTTCACCAGGGCAAGAACATGTAATCAGAGCCCTCCTGACAGAGAGCCATCTAGTCATAAATATAGATATGATTCTCACACAAACACACAGATATAGTATCATAGATTTGAAAGAGACCCTTAAAGAAGGACTATGATATGTTGCATATTCCAGAGTAGGCAAACCAGACACTCTCCACATCAACACTGACAAAGAAACAACAAGAAATACTGTTTACTCACAAGCAGAAAGGAATTACATATATTAGAAACCAACACTTTCTCATTACTTTATTTTCCAGATCACCAGACTGGGCCACAGCAACGCGTGGCAGGGGACAGCTAGTATACAATATAATGTTAATAATAAAATGTAATATAATAATATTTATTTATTTATTATTCAAACTTATATGCTGCCACTCCGCTAGGGCTCGGAGCAGCTTACAAGAACAGACTAAAATCTAAAACAATTTAAAAAACAGCAATATCAAAGATCAAAAGCCTGTCGAAACAAATATGTCTTAGATTTGCAGTACCTTCACCCTATTCGGATCCAACAGAGCACTGCGATCCTCACGAATAACGGACCTTGACCAAACTTTCATTCTTTTTCCTTCTTTCCACCCATCCTTCTTTTTTTATATATGATATAATGATAATACTTTAATAATAATAAAACTATAATAATAATAGATATAATAATAATTAATATATAAGAATAATGCAACAATAATACAAACATAATAATAATAATAAAATATAATAATACTTATATAGTATAATGATGATAGTATATATTAATAATATATACAATATAATGATAATTATAAAATAGAAAATAACAATATAATATAATGATGATAATAATATATAATGAAATATAATAATATATAAATAATAGTATATAATGATGATATAATAATAAAATAATAATCATGAAATAATAATAGGATATTTTTCTCTTTCATTTTTTTCCTTCCTTCCATCCATCCTTCTTTTTTTAATATGATATAATAATACTTTAATAATAATAAAACTATAATAATAATAGATAGATATAATAATTAATATATAAGAATAATACAAAAATACAAACATAATAATAATTAATAATATAATACTAATATAGTATAATATTTTCTCTCTTTTCTTCTTTTTCTCTTTCTTTCTTTTTCTTTCTATTTATTTTAATGGCCCCGAAGGGAGTCTCAGGACAATTTCTGGAAACGACAAGGAAAAAAATCAATATTTAATTATCAGGAAGGAAATAGAGCCCTTCACCCATTGACATAGAGCAGGTAGATAGATAGATAGATAGATAACACTATTCCTTATGGGAATGCTTTAGATTATTATAATTATTATTATATCATATTATTATATTATATTATATATTTAGTATTATACATTATATTATATTATATATTTAGATGTATTATTTAGTATTATAATATTAAATTGTTATATTTTATTATATATTTAGAAGTATTAATATATATTTAGCATTATTATTATTACATTCTTTTATTATATTATATATGTAGTATTATTATTTACTTGTTGTTGGGTTGTTGTTGTTCATTCGTTCAGTTGTTTCCGACTCTTCGTGACCTCATGGACCAGCCCACGCCAGAGTTCCCTGTCGGCCGTCACCACCCCCAGCCATTACTATTATATTATACTGTTATATTATATTACATTGTTACATGTTACTATATATTACTATTTAGTATCACTGTATATTATTATTATTATTATTATTATTATTATTATTATTATTATATTTTAATAAATAATAAAATATAGAATATATAATAATACAATATTTTCAAATGTTTCTTGCATTTTGCATTCCTTTTTGATGTTGCACTAGTTTTGCATTTTGCATTCCACGTGTTTCCTTTTCTCCACTTGTTTGCACTAGTTTTGCATTCCTTTAAAATGTTATGTTTGTCTGCATTTTCCACTTATTTTCCATTCATTTTGCATCTTTATTCTTTTTGCATTTGTTTGCATTTATTTTGCATTCCTTTAAAACGTTGCCTAAGTTTTGCATTTTGCATTTGTTTCCACTTGGTTTGCATGTATTTGTCTGTGTTGCATTAGTTAGCATTCCTTTTGTGTTTTGCATTCCTTTGCATCTTTCGTTGGTTTTCTCTTTTGCACTTGCTTGCATTCCTTTTCAATGTTTCATTTGTTTGCCTTTTTCATTCATTTTCAATCATTGATATATATTTTCTGTTTGTCGTGGGAGTTCTGTGTGCCATATTTGGTTCAATTCCATCATTGGTGGAGTTCAGAATGCTCTTTGATTGTAGGTGAACTATACATCCCAGTAACTACAACTCGCATATGTCAAGGTGTATTTTCCCCCATGAGCGCCCTTGGGCAAAATCAACTATACTGCAAATGCTTACTTTGCGTAATGGGTTGAGCCGCCCCTGACTGCAACTCCCATCTTCTGCGGTCCATCCTACCCCAAACTGCACAAGGACATAAAGTAGGTCATGGGTGGTCTGTGTGTCAGGTATGATCCCCGTCTGTCATTCTTGGGGGTTGCAGTGGACTGTGGAAGTGGGAGCCAGAAAGCTGCCACATACACACATACATATATGCCCACATACATACATACATATATATGTACATACAAACATTCTCTTTTATTATATACTAGCTTGGGGACCCGGTGCTGTCCGGGTTATTTGAGAAAGGAATTGTGTATCAAGGTTGGTCTATAGTGGGACCACTATGGCTCACAGTGGTCTCAGGAAGTTAGTGAAGGTACTGCGAGTCCCATCATCTGTGGTCCATCCTCCTCCAAACTGCACCAGGATGGAGAGTGGGTCATGGAGGCTCTGTGTAACTATGTAACTCTGTGTAACTGTGTAACTACATCCCAGTAACTACATTTGCCGCACTTGCTCCCTTGCCTGGCCTGCTTTGGGTCCGGAGGCGTGCCTGAAGACTCTGGCGTGTGCACCAAAAGTCACCTCTTCTCCTGACTTTCTCTATTATTATTATTATTATTATTATTATATCCTTTCTGAGATCATTCAGGTCTCTGTGGTAAAAGTTGCCATCTTGTCAATGTAGTGTTTCATGTAGTATTTCAGATTACATTTATTCAGACTTTACAGATAATAGGAAATTTCCTGACTCTGAATTGTGTCCACCTGCTTTTTTTTTTAATTTTTGCTTTCTCATTGAAATTCCAACCGCAATAGTTTTGAACGAACAAAGTTGTTGGGGTCTTGTTTTTGTTTTGTTTTGTTTTTGCCTTGCTTTCATTTATTATTCCAATAATCCTTGGAGCCCAGTATGCATTGTATCAACAGAAAAAGGGAGGTGTTTGCAATTTGTTGCACGGCCAACACAACTACCTGTGAATCCGTTTCATCTATTTACGTATCTGATTCTGATGCAAAAGTGTGGAAGTGAGCCTATCTAAATGTCTTTCATGGTGCTTTCTTTGTCTTCAACCAGATCAACACTGCAGTCCTACCTCAGACGACAGGAAGCTCAGTCGGGGTCAGGATCAAGTGGGGGTAATCCATTTGATAAAGGTTAGAATTCAGACAGCCTTCTTCTGGTATCTACAGAAAGGTGTGGAGAGGATATGGATGGTCTCACCTACATAGCTTATTCCTCCCTCATCCTGATCTGCTGTTGAATTCATTTTTTCTATAGCCTTGTCTCCCTGTTAGTATAGGATAACAATAGTCTCCAAAATAATGTCTTGCTGCCCCTGCATTGTGGGTCTGTGTGCATTCCTTTTGATTTTCTCATTCTTCTTAAACTCTGATCAACAGTCCTGCTGGTGTTCTGACATTTATGTGGATTTGTCTTTTGATAGGATCACAGCAATTTAGGCCAGATCAACAGAACCCTGTGGGAAAGACCAGCCAAGATAACACCCCCATTTCCACTACCATTCACATCTTATCCCTGTTACTCAGACTCCGTCAGTGCTGCTGCCATCTTTCTTTGCTAAAAGTGGTAAATACACAATGCATCTATGATTGTTGACTGTCAGAAATATTAAAAATGAACTGGGTATTTTTAATTACAAAAATGTGAGTCAAACCCTGAAAGCATTAAATGGAAGCTGTAGTTCAACATAAGCAGCTGTGCCTGTTGCTTAGTAATGCCTCAGTCTCAGAGAAGCCTGTGTGAGAGAATGCCTCAGTGGGAGAAAGATCTCAGTCTGTGAGAAGGTCTCACAGTGTGAGATAGGCCTTAGTCTGTGAGATAAGCCTCGGTATGAGAAGGCCTTGTGTGTGAAGCCCCAGTGTGAAAGTTAACTTTATTTGTGTCATGGAAACCTTGTTTTTGTAAATAGTGCAACTATATTATTTTGCTATGAAGAAAAGCCTCCTATGGAAGAATAACATTGGTCTGTGTGTTTTTGTTCTTTTTATACTTTGGGCTGCTAGTGCTGGGTCACATTGCTGCTGATAAGTTACTCCGTTGTGTATTTATCAGGAGGGTCTTCTGTTAATAAGCCCACTTGCCCAACAAGGGTTATGGGCCCAGTATAACCCAGTCTAGATCAATACATCTAAGTCAGCTTGAAAAAAATACATTTTGGGATTATATAAGTGAAGAATCTGGCAGCAAAGGGCCATGCTGACTGGGGGTTCTTAGAGTTGTGATTGAAAGAAGTAACCTTGCCATGTTCCTGGTTTTTTACACCATTCAGAGCACTGTTCTTTTCATTGCAGGCTCTTGACCAGGCAAATCTGGCCAGTGAAGGCATCTCTCTTACTCTGGAGGAGCAGCTCAATGCTTTGACCTTGTCTGAACCAGACAGCAGTGACCCTCAGTCTGTGGTCTACCTCTTTGGTGCGGCTTTCAATGTGGAACTCTTTGAAGCCACTAGACAGAGCACTAAAGTATGATGATTCAAGATGGAAAAGTTTTGTTTAATTTGTTGAGATAAAATTCCCGGAAATTATAATTGGGGGATATTAGTCCAAGAAAGTAAGATGTTCATGTCCTCAAAGGCTGCAGCGATGAGTGGTAACAGTCCCATTGCCCTAAGGAAGAAGAATTGGGTTGCCTCTTTCATCCACTCCATTAGGTAGAAATATGCAGAAATGCAAGTTTGTTGCTTCAAAGATAGCCATTTTAGTTTGGAATTATCAGTATGCAAAGGAGTTTTGTAGCACCTTAGAGATTAACTCAGGCCCCATCTACACTGCCATATAAAGTCCACATTATCTATTTTGAACTGGCTTATATGACAGTGTGGACTCATATAATCCAGTTCAAAGCAGATAAGGTGGATTCAGAAACTATGTAGATGGGGCCTCAGAGAACAAAGCTGGTAGCATCAGTTTCCGTAGACTAAATCTATCTCTTCAGATGCATCTTATGCTACAAACTTCATTCTCTCAGTCTCTAAGATGCTACAACATTTCTTGACATTTTTTGAGTTACGGTTTTTAATAAACAAAACCCTTTAGCTCATTTGTACAAACCTTTTATTTCTACCAATGTGCAATGAGACATCAACTGTCTCACATTTCTTAGTCATATCCAATTAGAGTAGACCCAATCAATCATCCGTTTAATGGTGTGGTGATGCATACTTAAGTCTAATGGAGTAAATGTGTCTGCTCTGGTCAGGACTAAAATAAGATTTACACCATTCAGAGCAGTAAATAACTGGGTTTTTATTTGTTAAGGCATGCAGAGTTTCTGCTACAACAGTAATTTTGGAATTCAAAGCTATGTTACTATAAATTGGGTTGCTGTGAGTTTTCCGGGTTGTATCGCCATGTTCCTGAAGCATTCTCTTCTATGGTAGGCATCCTCAGAGTTGAGGAATCTATTGGAAACTAAGCAAGTGAGGTTTATATATCTGTGGACTGTCCAGGGTGGGTGAAAGAACTCTTGTTTGCTTGAGGCAAGTATGAATGTTGCAGTTGGCCACCTTGATTAGCATTGAATGTCCTTGCAGCTTCAAAGCCTGGCTGATTGCTGCCTAGGATAATCCTTTGGAGTGTTAGCTGCCCCTGATTGATTCTTGTCTGGATTTCTCCTGTTTTTTTAGTGTTGCTCTTCATTTACTGTCCTGATTTAAGAGTTTTTTTAAAAAATACTGGTAGCCAAATTTTGTTCATTTCCATGGTTTCTTCCTTTCTGTTGAAATTGTCCACATGCTTGTGGATTTCAGTGGTTTCTCTGTGTAGTCAGACATGGTAGTTGTTAGAGTGGTCCAGCATTTCTGTCTTCTCAAATAATATACTGTGTCCAGGTTGATTCATCAGGTGCTCTGCTATGGTTGACTTTTAGGTTGAATCAGTCTGCAGCACCTTTCATGTTCCTTGATTTGTGTTTGAGCAATGCTGCGTTTGTAGACCTGTCTACAACTGCATGGTTTACAGTAGACTCCTGCAGAGGAGAGAGGATCTCTCTTGTCCTTTGCTGAACGTGGCCTTAGTTGGATTTTCTTAGTGGATCTGTAGATTGTTTATATGTTGTGTTTCTTCGCCAGCTTCCCTATGTGGTCAGTTGTTCCCTTGATGTACGGAAAGAACATTTTCCTCTGGTTGGATCTTTGTCTTTACTCTCATGGCTTGTTCTTGGTCTTGCAGCTCTTCTGATGTCCTATACATTCTTCTTTGGGAAAAATTCTGATTGAGATTCTTAGGGCTTAACTCTAAGTAAACAAGCCTACATTTGCACTGCACAATAACCATAGATAAGTGTTGTGCAGCACAACAGTGGCTTATCTAGACATCTGACTTGCACTGCACAACCACATCCTGCACTCTGCCAAGAGAGTCAAAGTTACTGTTCTGTGGAGGAGCGAGAGTAACAAGTAAGCCTTGCAAAGCGGAATAAAGGAACCTTAATTTGTTGTCGCATATAGGGTGACAACTATTTCGTCTGCAGTAGAAAGCTGTTTCTCCATTTTAAAACCTAATTTATTAGTGCCATCCGAACTAGAGATATATTGATAACCATTCCGCTTTCTATTCATTGTGTGAAGGACATCTGAACATGCCTGTGTGTGTTTTTCTGATCTGTCTGGCTAAGCAACAGTGCTTTAGCCTATGATATAAGCAGGTCTGGTGTGAGAGGATTGCTGTTCAAGCTTTTAGAACTGAGAATGGATAATGAGAGTTCATTATGTCCTGAACTGAACTGAAACACAGATTGCTTACTGGAGCATGGCCCAAAAAGGCCAAAATCCAGCAAGTTACCTCACTCCTAATTCATGTACCATTTTGCAGTATAGTGTTTGTTTACCCAATGGAGTATGTACTTCTTGCATTATATAGTTTCAACATGAGCATTGCATTTATTTGTGTAGTTAGGAGAACTCAAATATGTTTTAGAACTATACAACTTCATACCACACACACACACCACAATTTTGCAACCCTCCTCCATTTTGTGGGTCAGAATGAAAAGGTATTATGAAAATGGTATCAATAAAAATAAACAATTCAAAAACAATTTTAGTCTTTCTTTAGAGCCCCAACTGGGTACTAGCTTATTATTATACTGTAACTCATGAAACATAACCTACATAAATATCAAAAAGAGAAAAGTCCAAATGTCTGGTAATATACACATAACACAACAGCAAGTAATCCTGGGTACAATGTCCTTGTTTCAGGGGATTCTTCTTCAGGTTGTGTTGATTTAAAAATTAACACAAGACTGTCTGTAACAGTCTTTTGGTGTGTGGTTACTTTCTTCTTAAACCCATGGTCTCAAAATCTTCTCATACGTTGTTATGGATGTATTGCTGTCCCTTTGATTACACTTGCTCAGTCCTGTTCCAATTCAAGGCTCTTCCATGCTACTTACATTGCTCATGCAGAGCTCTATTAGTTCTTTCCAGTTGCAAGGACAGTGTACCCGGGATGTACAACAAGAAGATTGGTCTGTAGCTTTTTGGATCATTACGGTCTTTGCCTGGTTTCAAGATGGCTTTGACTTTGGCTTTCCTCCAGGTTTTAGGGATCTGACAGGATGCAATGCAGTTGTTCATCTGCTTCAGCAGTTCATTTGTTGTGTATCTTGATGTCACTGATGACCTAAAGCAAACCTGTCTCTGGGTTTTCCTGGGAAGATTTGTGCAGTGGGGGTTTGCCATTGCCTTCCTCAGGATGTGAGTTGCCCAGGATCAATAGGTTTCCATGGCTAATTGGGGATTTGAACCTTGGACTCCTAGTCTAAAACTCAAACCACTGCACCACACTGGGTTTTACTGGACATAGCTGACTGTAGATTAGGCTGGAATACTTTGTTTGGCCTCTGACTAGAACCAGGTTTATGCCATTTGTAATTCACCAAGACAGGGACAACTTGTCTTTTGCTGCTCCAGAAGTTGGGACCCATACCAGTAGATTCAAATGGCAGGAGTAAAAAAAAAAACTGTACTTGAAATTTGAGAGGAATGTCTTTGTAATGGTTGTCTTTCAACTGTGAGCTGGTCTGCCTTGGAAGATGAATTTTCCACCCTAGGAGATTTTAAACAGAGGATGCATGGCCATCTTTTGGGTATGGTTAGTTGTGTATCCCTATATGGCAGGAAGTTGGACTAGATAGCCACTGTGATTGCTTCCAATTCTATGATTCTCTGTTCAGAATCAGTGCCTTGTTTTTCTCTTCCCACTCAGGGCCCTTCCACACAGCCCTATATCCAAGGCAGAAAATCCCACAATATCTGCTTTGAACTAGGTTATCTGAGTCCACACTCAGATAATGTGGGATTTTCTCCCTTGATATTCTGGAATATAGGGCTAGTTGGAAGGGCCCTCAGTCACACATTCCTTCTTTGTCTCTTGCCTTTTTGGTTACAAGTCTGAGGGCAGGAGCTGTCTTGTTTCTCACTGAATGTATGTCTGCCACTTTGGAGCTTTTTGGCTGAAGATGAAAGCACATTTTTTCTACATAAACCTTGCAATTTTCAGCAGAAGGGTTTGCAAACAAGCCTCATTCAACTTCACAGAACTGGAACTAATATTTTGAGTAAACATTCTTGGAATTGGGCTCTAAGCACACTTTCCTCTCATACTTTTAGCTCTCACATCTCTTGGAGGAGTTGAAGGCTATTCAAGGTCATTCTCAGAAAAGGTGAGTATGGGCACACCAGTTCCCTTTATGGGTTTGGAATGCTTTTCTCTCTTCCAATATTGCACTCTTTGGTGCACCAAGATTTTTAAACAGGCCAGTATTATCCAGATACCAGGAAAGATAGATATTGGTATTGGGGGATGAGGGATGAATAGTAACTTTTTAAAACTCACCAGACTAGTCTTAATTCAATGTCCTTCCTTTTTAAAGTGTCATTGTGTCTCAGTGGACTAGTATGCTGAAGGTTGTCGCAGTACACCTGAAGAAGCTTGGGCTGAGATATGCCACAGTGGATGGCTCTGTGAATCCTAAACAGAGGATGGATGTCGTTGAGGAATTCAACAACAATCCCAAAGGTCCTGAGGTATAGAAAAAGATCTATAAAGCTGTTTGTTGTAAGCCACCCTGAATCCCCCTCCGGGGGTGAGAAGGATGGGGTACAAATAAATAAATAAATAAATAAATAAATTTTCAGTGCTGTTGCATGATGTTCACTTGTCATTGTGACCAGTGGTGCTGTAATTAGATATTAAATTATCACATGGGATTCAAATAATAATAATTTAGTCCAATAATTTAGTTCAGCGGGTTAAACCACTAAGCTGCTGAACTTGCTGACCAAAAGATTGGTGGTTCAAATCCGGGGAGCAGGGTGAGCTCCCGCTGTTAGGCCCAGTTTCTGCCAATCTAGCAGTTTGAAAACATGCAAATGTGAGTAGATCAATAGGTACCGCTCCAGCAGGAGGGTAGCGGTGCCCCATGCAGTCATGCCAGCCACATGACCTAGGAGGCGTCTACGGACAATGCCGGCTTTTCGGCTTAGAAATAGAGATGAGTCCACCCCCAAGAGTCGGAAACAACTAGACTTAATGTCAGGGGAAAACCTTTACTTTTACCTTTTTTAGCCCACTATGTGGTCAAAAAGTTCTTTGTTAAGTCTCCAAGATCAATTTTCAAGTGGTGGGGAGGTCCATGGGGGAAAAATCCTGTTGTACTAGCATGGCATTAAATTTAAACCTGGGATGGCATCTATGGTTCCTCATTGTGGTACCTCATCTTCCGTTTAAATCAAGTCTAGTGATAATGGTGTATGTGAAAGAACTAGCTGTTTTTTATCGTGCTCTTCTCACAGGTCATGCTAATTTCCCTTCTCGCTGGAGGTGTTGGTTTGAATCTGGTTGGCGGAAACCATCTATTTCTTCTTGATATGCACTGGTAATGATATATAGGATTTTGTCTTGAAAATAAGGACAAAAGTTCTCAAAAGAACTGTTTTGCAAAAACCCGGTGGTTAAAAGGATCAGATTGTTAAGTAATGTATCCAGTTTCATATGTTGGGTTCTTTGTATCAATACACTTTTACTATTGTACACTTTGAAGATCACATATTGTGCACATTTACTGTTATTATTTGCAGTTTAAAGAGTGTAGTTAATTTATATCTCCATACATTAGCTAATTCTGTTTTATATTACTTCTTAACTCCTTCAGAAAAAGAGGAAGCAACAGCTCAATTTATCTATCTCTTTTCTCATAGAAATAAGCCAACTCCAAATGCTGCAGGGAAAAGAAGAATGATATTATTGGAGCAGTAGTGGTTGGGAACATTCATATAGTTACTGGGTTGTTGTGAGTTTTCTGGGCTGTCTGGCCATGTTCCAGAAGCATTCTCTCCAACGTTTCACCCACATCTATGGCAGGCATCCTAAGAGGTTGAGGGGTCTGTGGGAAACTAGGCGAGTGGGGTTTATATATATCTGGAATGTCCACGATGGAAGAAAGCACTCATGTGGACTCTTTCAACAGAAAGGAGGAAACCATGAAAATGAACAAAATATGGCTACCAGTTTTAAGAAACTCTAAAATCAAGACAGTAAAGAAAGAACAACATTCAAAAGCAGGGGAATTCCAGGCAAGAAATGATCAGGGCCAGCTAATAACCTCCCGATAAAGGATTCCCCAGTCAGGAAGCAGCCAGTCTTTGAAGCTGCAAGGGCATTCAGTGCTGATCAAGATGGCCAATTACAACACTTGCCTCAAACAGACAAGATTTCTTTCTCCCACCCTGGACATTCCACAGATATATAAACCCCACTTGCCTAGTTTCCAACAGACCTCCCAACCTCTGAGGATGCCTGCCATAGATGTGGGTCAAACGTCAAGAGAGAATGCTTCTGGAACACGGCCATGCAGCCCGGAAAACTCACAGCAAGCCAGTGATTCCAGCCATGAAAGCCTTCAACAACACATGGAGTTACTATTTCATTCAAAGCAGAAATAGCATTAAAGTGGAGAAGAGTCTCCAGCTTGCACCTTGGCAATCTTGTTTGCTGAACATTATGTGTGAACTAGAATGTCTGTCCCAACTAAATTGAACTATTATCATAAATGACTGAGCTATTTTCTTAAATTTAGGAATCCAGCATTGGAAGACCAAGCCTGTGACCGCATTTACCGTGTGGGGCAGAGAAACGATGTCACAATCCACAGGTCAGGTTTTGTAATAATGTCTTTTCTCACCACTGTTTGTGTTTAATTTTTAAAGTGAGATTTCTTGAAATACTATGAACAGGGGCTAAAGTTAGACTGACAAAGTTATTCCACTTTTCTTTCCTGTCTATGATCTGGAAATTCATCTGGCCCTGAGACTGTGATTTTTCCTCAAATGTCCATAGTTCAGTTCTGCTCAGTTATTTCAATAATTTCTGCTGGTGGGGTTGCGACATTAACTGTCTTGATCATGTTGTGTGCTTAATGTTTAGGTTTGTCTGTAAAAGGACAGTAGAAGAAAAGATCGCAGAGCTGCAAACCAAGAAAAAGGAACTGGCCCAAAAAGTACTGTCTGGAAAAGGTGACTCCTTCACAAAGCTCACCCTGGCAGATCTCAGGCTCCTTTTTGGCTTTTAAACTTTGGTTCCCATTGCCACCCTTCTCTTTTTTGCACAGCATCCTTTTTAATGTTGTGTATATAATTTTAATAAAGTCACTATTTTTGTCCTATTAGTGTCTTGTTTTTGTGATTGTATTCTTCAACAGCATGAGTGGGCAAAGTATGTCATCTCCTCAGCAAGTCCTTGCGTGCTTTTTCTCTCCATCTATCAAAAGTCCTTTTCCACAGAAGATACAGTTTTAGGGCCCTCAAAAACTCATTTTCTTCTTCTTGAAGCCACCAGGCGCATAAAATGGATAATAATCCCTCTACCCATGGCTGAAAAACTCAGCCGGAGATGGATATCCAGCTACTTCCTTGGACTTCAGTTTTTCAGGTAATTTTAGGTGCCTCTGCAGTCCAAGGTAGATCCAAAAGGTGGGAAATCACAGCCTGGATCCTCAAACTTGCCCAGTCTTGCTGGAGGAAGGATTTGTCCTACTTGCGATACATTAAAATCTAGGGAGACAGTTTAGGAAATGCCCCATACTGAATTTCTGATAATTAATGTATTTTCTTTATTTCCTGTGCCCAATATTGTTCTAAGAAGATGAATACAGTTCTCCATATCATATAAGTAGGGTCAAGATCCACATATTACATTAATTGAGGCATCAGTAGGTTAAATGTTTTTGAATATTTACATAAAACTGTAATTTAAAATAAGACTGTCCAACTCTGATTAAACCATTATTCTAACCTTCTTCAATGTAAATGTGCTTACGTATCCTTCCAACAATAATAAGAAGGTAATATAATAAATGTAATAAAAGTAATAATAATAGAGTAAAATAATGGAAATGTGATAATAATAATTAATAAATAGAATAAAATAATAAATGTAATAGGAATAAAATAATAATGATAATAATGATGATAATAATAATAATAATAATAATAATAATAATAATAATAATATGGCAGACTACAGGCAGAGGCATAACACCATTGCTCAGATGATTCATTGGAACTTGTGCCACAAATACAATTCTGCCTGTGACAAAGAATTTGTGGGATCACAAGCCTGAAAAAGTTACAGAAAATGAACACATCAAACTACCTCTGGGACTTCCGGATTCAGACAGACAGAGTTTTGGAGCACAATACTCCTGACCTCACAATCGTGGTAAAAAAAACAAGTATGGATCGTCGATGTTGCAATCCCAGGCGACAGCAGGATTGAAGAGAAACAACTGGAAAAGCTGACACAATATGAGGACTTAAAGCTTGAACTGCAAAGACTCTGGCACAAGCCAGTCAAGATGGTCCCAGTTGTGATCAGCACACTGGGTGCAGTGCCTAAAGACCTTGGGCTGCACTTAAACACAATCATCGCTGAAAAGATTACCATCAGCCACCTTACTGGGATCTGCACGCATTATTCGCTGATACATCACATAGTCCTAGACACTTGGGAAGTGTCCGACGTGTGATCCAATACGACAGCCAGCAGAGTGACCTTGTTTGCTGTGTACTAATTTTTGGTGGTTCTAATAATAATAATAATAATAACGGAGTAAAATAATAAATAACTTTGACTTGATTATAAGCCGAGGGGGGATTGCAGCCTTAAAAAAGGGCTGAAGAACTCGGCTTATATTCGAGTATTTATGGCAATAGGAATTCATCTCTAAAAATGGGAAGTGACCTTTTTTGCCTTGTCTCCTGTTTTCAAATTGTGGTAGTCCCTGTATCAAGAGCAGCCATTGTTCTGTCCAGAGCAGGTATTGAAGCAGCTACACTGTCTCACTGCATGTGCTGAATGACCTCATATAGCCTCCATCAGAAGTAGGGCACCAAAATACAAACTCAGCAAGTTTGCTGTTGTATCTGGTCTCTGTTCAGATTATTTCACGCAAGGGTTGCCTCAATGCTGAGTCCTTGTATACAAATATATCTTGTAGCACCTTTGAGACTAATAGAAAAAAGATGCAAGATAAACTTTCACAGAATTAGCCTAATTTCCCAGATGCATAGACTTAACTTAGGGTGCATCTACACTTTATAATTAATGCAGGTTGACACCATTTTAATTGCCATGGCTCAATGCTATGGAATCTGGGACTTGTAGTTTGCCGAGGTACCAATAATCTAGTAAAGAAGGCTAAAGGCCTTGCAAAACTACAACTCTAGTTTTGAGCCATTACAGTTAAAGTAGTATAAAATGCATTAATTCTACAGTATAGATGCACTCTAAGGCCCCTTATACACTGCCATATAAAGTCGAGATTATCCGCTTTGAACTGGATTGTATTTATTTTATTTATTATTTATTTATCATAT